CGCCCCACCCACGGAGCCATCATTTCTGGCTCGGCGGCCGCGGGACCGTCCTGAACCCTCTCGCGCCCCGTAGTCGGAGGCTTCCGCCCCTAACAAAGATGGCCGCCCACGTCGCCCTCTCACCCCTCCGCCCCTACCCCTTCGGCCCACATCAAATACGTGACTGACTGTCTTTCACTTTCGGGTTACTGTGGACGCGAGATGCCGCTGGTTCCGAAGGCAGCGGGGCGGATCAAGCTAGGTAAGCAGGCGTGTCGGGACCGGGGACTCCAGGAGGGCAGGGCAGCCTCTCTCGGGTCTGTCTGTTTTCAGCAGGGTTTTCAGTCTCACGCGGTGGGTGAGGTCTCGGGCCAATCCCTCTCCCTGACAGGAGGCTTTCTCTCCCCGTAGACTGTCCTCTGCGGCCCGGCTGCCCGCTGGGGGGCGCTGCTGTCCCCAGACTCTGCAAGGAATTCGGTCCCGAGGACTACGGCGAAGAGGTAAAGGGACTCCCGGCTCCCCCCCGCCCTGTTCCGATCGATCATGCCTCTGTCCACCCCGCGGTGCCGAGTCTCGCCCTGGCCGGGAGCCCCTCGGTGCGCGGGGTGCGGCAGAGGAGAGTCTGTGGGTTGAGGATGGGGGCGGGGGTGGGAGCTCCTTGGACGGTGTTATGACAAGAGGAGGCAGTGGGAGCAAAGACACCAAAGCAAGGAAAAGTTAAAAGAACTTCATCGACGTGAAACCTGAGCGGAGGGTTTGTTTTAAACGGTAGGAGGTGAGGAGGGAACGAAGGCACTTGACAGGCCTTGCCCAGCCCAGGGTTGGGGTGTTCTCAGGTAGGTGATGTGGTTACTGAGGGAGGGACAGGACCAGATTTGGGAACACTGAGAAGCTGTCCTTCCAACGGCTTTATGGTTACCTCTAAACACCGCAAACTCACCAGTCCAGAGGTTCATCATCTTTGCAAATGGATTGCTTTCCCTCTAATCTTAGTTTTGGTTGATAACGCAGACTTCCATCCAGAAATCTGGAAGTCACTCTATGTAGTCCTCCCTTTCCTGTACGCCACACATGCAGGTACTCACTCCTTCTGAAGTGTCTCTCGAATGGAACCCATCGTTTCCGTTCCTGCTCCTGCTGCCACTGCCTCAGTTCAAGAACTCATTCTCGCCCCAGCTGGTTTGGCTCAGTGGATAGAGCGCCCGCCTGTGGACTGAGGGGTCCCAGGTTCCATTCCCGTCAAGGGCACATGCCCAAGTTGTGGGCTCGGTCCCCAGTGTGGGGTGTGCAGGAAGCACCCAGTCGATGATTCTCTCTCATCATTGATGTTTCTATCTCTCTCTCCCTCTCCCTTCCTCTCTGAAATCAATAAAAATACATATTTTTTTTAAATATATTTTATTGATTTTTTACAGAGAGGAAAGGAGAGAGATAGAGAGCCAGAAACATCGATGAGAGAGAAACATCAATCAGCTGCCTCCTGCAC